TTCTATCCAACCTAGCCAAACGTTTTAAGTATGCTAGCTAACATAATAGTTAATCCAGGTGAGGTTTATGTGAGTTTTGAAGGAATGTGAGCTGAAAAATTCATCTTGCTGTTTGCGCTAGCTAGCATACTATCTATCTAACCTAGCCAACTGTTTCATGCTGTTTTTCCCTTTTTTCTTTAACCCCCTTAAAATCCCAGGCTTATTACATACTAAGGCTTATTATTCAGTAACTACAAGGACTTTAATGGAAACTGGTTGAGCTGTTCTTAGATTATAGATGCATGTAATAAAACTTGGCCTGCCAGCGCACCCAAAGTTTTAACACCATATTTACTGCAAATAGTGCTACATTCTATGCAACAGACTGAAGTTTTTTTCTATAATGAAAGGCTTCTTATTTGAATCCATGTTCGCTGCGAGCTGCGTTCCATAATGACTGTGCATTAACGTAGCAAAACTGTCAGACGTCACATGAAAGATTGGAAAAAAGTGTTTGACTCTGGTTGGCAGTTCTGATTTAATCTGTTTTATCTGTGGGCTTTTTTCTCAGGCTAAAGTTTCACGAATCTTAAATCTCGGATCTGAGTCGAGAGTCAGGTAAGGGTGACTCCATGTCAAATTGAGAGTCGACATGAGACAAGAGTCCCCATCTCTGGTAATTAGTAACTGTAGAACTTTCACAGTAAGTAGCTGACTGGATTGTCAGCCCATTATGACATCATCTTATTTTATTACTTCATTTTTACTGTTTGATTTAGTTTGTTTTGGTTTCACTCAGTGTCTGTGTACCAGACAGGGATTAAGCCTAGTCCTAGACTACACAACATTTTAAATGGAGATTCTCCATTTAAAGGAAAATGTACCCAGTTAGTAAGCACATATCAGTCCACTGGCTTGAAATACGCTCACCGTATGTCACTGCTGGTCCAGCCTCTGACTCACTGTATTTATGATATTGCTGTTAACATGATTTACTAAACTAATTTACAAAATATAATAAAAGAATTAAATGATGGAAAAATAAGTAAACTAGACTGTGAGTGGAAAAGAAGAAATGAAGTGCCATTTTGTCTAACATTCTGCTTACCCACCAGTGGGCTACCCAGAAAACGCTGAGCAAAAAGCTAGTTTAGGACAGCTTTGCCATCAGTGGGCCAACAGTTACCCGCTATCCTCTTGCTATCTGGGTTGTATGTGGGTCTGAGAAACCAACCCATAGTGTTTCCTAACCTTTAATAAATGTGGTGCTACTGGTATGTTGGCGCATCTGAATTTCAAACACCCTCAAGTACCGTGACATTATATTTTTAACCATATTGCCCCCCCTTACAGATCAGTAACAGAAATAAAATAAGAAAACAAGCAAGAGTAAATAGCAGCTACCAACACTGATTTATTCATTCCAGGCAAATATGCTGAGAATAGTTTTATAAAAGTTATTCATATCAGACAGGACAACAGCATCTGTGTATTAAAGCTTTCTATCTTATTTTCCAGTCTTTGTTGTCCATTAATGGGTCTGTACGCAAATATAAGGCTCAAGATCTTTAAGCTATGAGTCATCAGGCTGTACCTGAGATTACTCTACTCTCTATTAGCAGTAATTGTAGGACACTTGGCTGAAGCAAGCAGCATTGACCAACACAAACAAAGCACTCGAGCAGATGATGTCATACCACAGCGCTGTATGAATGGGGTGAGGTGCTTTGTAAGGAATTTTTTTAGCATGTCATTGCATCATCATAATTAACTTTTAAACTTTGTATTTTGAGCATTGTTGATTAATTTAGTTCAAATAGTAATACACAATTTCAGAAAATTTACAACCCCCCTATATATATATACAGTAGTGTGAAAAAGTGTTTGCCCCCTTCCTGATTGCTTATTCTTTTGCATGTTTGTCACACTTAAATGTTTCAGATCCCCAAACAAATTTAAATATTAGACAAAGATAAAACAAGTAAACACAAAATGCAGTTTATAAATGAAGGTGTTTATTATTAAGGGAAAAACAAATCCAAACCTACAGGGCCCTGTGTGAAAAAGTGATTGCCCCCTAAACCTAATAACTGATTGGACCACCCTTAGCAGCAACAACTGCAATCAAGCGTTTTCGATAACTGCCAATGAGTCTTTTACAGCGCTGTGGAGGACTTTTGGCTCATTCATCTTTGCAGAATTGTTGTAATTCAGCCACATTGGAGGGTTTCCGAGCATGAACTGCCTTTTTAAGGTCATGCCACAGCATCTCAATTGGATTCGGGTCAGGACTTTGACTAGGCCACTCCAAAGTCTTAATTTTGTTTTTCTTAAGCCATTCAGAGGTGGACTTATGAGGTGTGTTTCAGATGGTCGGACATTCTCCTTCAGGATTTTTTGGTAGACAGCAGAATTCATGGTTCCATTTACCACAGCAAGTCTTCCAGGTCCTGAAGCAGCAAAACAGCCCCAGACCATCACACTACCACCACCATATTTTACTGTTGGTATGATGTTCCTTTTCTGAAATGCTGTGTTACTTCTATGCCAGATGTAATGGGACATACACCTTCTAAAAATTTCAACTTTTGTCTCATCAGTCCACAGAGTATTCTCCCAAAAGTCTTGGGGATCATCAAGATGTTTTCTGGCAAAACTGAGATGAGCCTTTATGTTGTTTTTGCTCAGCAGTGGTTTTCATCTTGGAACTCTGTCATGCAGGCCATTTTTGCCCAGTCTCTTTCTTATGGTGGAGTCATGAACACTGACCTTAACTGAGGCAAGTGAGGCCTGCAGTTCTTTGGATGTTGTTGTGGGGTCTTTTGTGACCTCTTGGATGAGTCGTCGCTGCGCTCTTGGGCCACTCCTGGGAAGGTTCACCACTGTTCCATGTTTTCGTCATTTGTGGATAATGGCACTCACTGTGGTTCGCTGGAGTCCCAAAGCTTTAGAAATGGCTTTATAACCTTTTTCAGACTGACAGATCTCAATTACTTTGTTTTTCATTCATTCCTGAATTTCTTTGGATCGCAGCATGATGTCTAGCTTTTGAGGATCTTTTGGTCTACTTCACTTTGTCAGGCAGGTCCTTTTTAAGTTATTTCTTGATTGAGAACAGGTGTGGCAGTAATCAGGCCTGGGTGTGGCTAGGGAAATTGAACTCAGATTTCCAAAGATGTGCAATCACTTTTTCACACAGGGCCCTGTCGGTTTGTATGTCTTTTTTCCTTAATAATAAACACCTTCATTTATAAACTTCATCTTGTGTTTACTTCTGTTATCTTTGTCTAATATTTAAATCTGTTTGGTGATCTGAAACATTTAAGTGTGACAAACATGCAAAAGAATAAGAAATCAGGAAGGGGGCAAACACCTTTTCACACCACTGTACGTATATATATATATATATATGTATATATATATATGTATATATATATATGTATATACAGAGGGGGGTTGTAAATTTTCTGAAATTGTGTATTACTGTTTGAACAATCCAGTGTGTCTGCAGATTCATGCCAAATGCAGCAGATGAGTATAGTTAATATTTCATAAATATGAATGCTATCTCATAATCACTATTTAGTATTTCATAATAATGACTTATGTCATAATTATGATTTTAAATCTCATAATTATGCCATAATATCTCATAATATTCTTACTATAATGACTCAGCATCTCATAATTAGATATTAAGTTATTATCACTTATATTTAGAGATAGTAAGCCATTATTATGAGATCTTAAGTCATAATTATAAGAAACTTTCTTATTATTATGAGATGCTACATGGCTTTTTTTCAGATGTCAATATTGGGCTTTGGTACATTATAGTGTACAGTCCCTATACAAAAAAGTGTCCTTTTTTTGTTTATTTGTTTACAACAGAATGCATATACATTAATTATAATACAGTGCAACCTCCCAAGAAAACTTAAAATAAATACTGAATATGGGCAGACCTTTGCAATAATTTATGTATTGTTAGATTCACTAATTGCATTAATTGTAAGTATGCAGCAAAATCCCCATTGTAACATATTCATTGTTAATTGAACTGCTGCTGAGGATTTTACAGTGTAGTGTAGACTAGAGGTGGGCGATGTGACAAACTGTAATATCACGATACTTCAGAAGGTTTTTAACAATACACTGTACGTTACAATATTTATTTTTTCTGACATCTGATAACTTACAACAGCCAAAGAAGTGGCATATCATAAGAATATTATGAAACTATGCATCCAGTGATTTGTATCCGGCATTTCACACATTGTGCTGCATTAAATCCAAATAAACCTGACCATTTCCGCTATCTTTTAAAATAAAACAGTTGAGAAGTGACCTTTAAGTACTGACAATATCCACGATACGAAAGAGAGAGAGAGAGAGAGAGAGAGAGAGAGAGAGAGAGAGAGAGAGAGAGAGAGAGAGAGATCATACATATCTGATACATGGTTGAATACATCCCAAGACAATGATATAAAAACCTTGTGTTGTATAACATGAAGATGGTATTTATGAGTAATATATGCTATCTATATATGAATAATATTTTCTAGCATATATTATTAAATATGTGTTACAAGTGTATGTTTGAATATGTTAAATGGATGAAATACGTCTCATGGCCAGTTTCAAATAAGTTGCCTATACAAGCTACTAAATGACATATATTTGAAATCCATTATTGTCATATATCAGATTTTCATATGGGTAGGGCAGTCTTCTGGGCCCATAACACGGAAGACTGATTTTTTTAGTAAGGCTTTGATGTAGCACATAAACATTAAAGTTTTAAAACATACCCTTTCCTCCTTTGTCCGTACGGCCCACATCATTCAGTCTACGGTCCGCATAGGGAAACTAAGCTGCAAAAAGTGCCCGTTTTAAATTTACTCTTTTTGACAAAAATGATCATTAGCATCGTTCACGAAGCCTTACCGTCATGTACCATGTGATAAACAGTGATGTGGCGCCCTCCAAAGGTTAACATACAGCACTGCACAGTAAAAGAAGAAACTACACAGTACAACTCAAATTCTCAGCGCGTTAGGTATTATTTATAATAGCTATTTTGTTTGCCGTTTTTTTTAGAATAAAGGTCTCTGCCCGTATTCGAGACGACAAGGACCACTCCGCCATAAAAATACATACATCAAATGAAAAACAGAAGAGCAGTCAGGATGTGACGACAGGAGCCTGTGTTTTTCTGGTGTGTTGTCTATGTGAGGGCTGTTGTTTCTCTCCGTCTTTGCTGTGAGCAGCCCGGTGTAACCAGAGCACCTGGTCCCGGAGTAAAACCCAGTGCCAATGACCATCTCTGACCATCACTACTCATTCTCATGTAGTTAACAGTCGTGTTTAATAAGGAATGGAGGTGGTGGACAGCCCTCTCAACCTCGTAAGTTTATGTTTATGGTTCAGGTTAGCATGCCTGCTATCTAGCAAGCTAATCATCCTTGACTTATCTGGGCTTGCTAGCTAGCTGGCTAACGTCAGCAGAATAAAGCCGGCTGAGGTTTATCATGTCCTTATCGTTGTCATGTAAGAGGAAGTGTCAGTTTTCCAGAGTAACATGGTGTTAAATTGACATGTCAGTTTTTGGGGTTAAACTGCTTGACAGACCATCTTAGGATGTGTGGTTAGCTTAGCATGCTAGTTAGCACAATTTTTTTCTGTTCCTGGGTTTAATATAACGAGCCCTTATTATACCTAGCTGTGGGTAAACAGTCTGTTTGGCATCAACATCGTAAGCCACGCGTATTTATCTTAAAATTGACCGTTGATTTAAATATAAGCATGAACTTTTACTATTACCCAACGTTGGCCAAGCAAGAAGCTAACTAGTTGTGTTGTGTTAGCTAAGGTGTGCCTAGGTTGGAAGCTGATAAAGATATAGTTCTTAGTCTAGGTTACGTCACATTAATCAATGTAGTCACAATGCACAAAACGATTTTTTAGTTTCTGCATAATTAGGTCTTTCAGATGTAAACAAAGTCAACCAGAGTGGTCTGATGTGAAATATTCCGTTCTGGAGAGCTTTTTTCCCCCCACATACGTCGTGACGTCTACAACACAAATGTAGCTGTTTTATTTGCTATACAAACCTACCAATGAACCTATACGTGTCTCCTGAATTGTCAATCATGGTAATATGGTAGTAAATCTGAATTTAAAAGAGTATGTTTTATTTGGGGACTATTTTGCCTTAAAAACATGAAAGGATTTTAAAAATTAAGTTTTAGCCAAAATCATATCTCAAAATAAACATAAGACAATGTCTCAGGCATCAGGCAAAGTATTTTTAATGACTTCAAGTAATAACTGTCTATTAGAGGAGCTTTTAGAGGCATTAAATACTTAAGATGTCTGGTGTCTGTCAGCACCATGGTGAACAATTTTGTTTCGATAAGTTTCTCCAGAATGGAGTTTTTCACTTCAGGCTACTCTGAATGAATTTCTTTACATCTTTACTATTGAATTTTTCAGAAATTTTGAAAATTGGTGAAATTCCCTTGTGAAGATATTCCCCTTTAAAGAACCAGATGCAAGATATTATTGTTCCTGAGCAACTGCATGTTTTGTTACAAAGAGAGTGTAATTTATCCTGTTGAACAGGGTGTAATACCAGATCACCAGAAATGTGGAATGAATATTGCTGTGTTCTGTTTTAGGCATATTTTTAAATGTGACACTACTGGTGGTTTTTTATTTGTTTCTACTTATCAAGTCACAGAATCTCACAAAATCACATATCTTGATGTCATGTGTTTACCGTATTGCCATCCTAAGGAGTGAGATTTGTTAAAGCAGGGATAACAAAAAGACATGCTTCCTACAGCTGGCATTGTGAATAACTGGGTGGCAAGAGAGTAAAGCAACATGTGCATTTCTGACTGTACTACCTGGGGGCAACAGCTAAAAGTTTCTAATCCATTGGATAGACTGAGAGTATGACCTGCCATAAATCCTTACCACATTTTATGTGAGATTTCTCCTCCCTTTCTTTTTAGGCCCATCAGCAGTGCAGGAAAGCAGACCGATTTCTGGCTGCTGGAAAATATGAAGAGGCCATCTCTTGCCATAGAAAAGCTGCAGGTCAGTTGTACTTTTTTCACTTGAAGGACTTCCCTGGAAACCAAAACTCTTGTCTCTGTAATCAGTTTGTTTCTGAATAAAGTTAGGCATGAATGTGCTTTTCAGTGATGCAGGAATGTGTATAAACTAATCCATTTATTTCTAGTTTACAGTAGTGAGGTCTCAGTTCCTGGTATACTTGCCATTTGATCTACAAGAAGTATGTAATGTTTGGAAAAGGTCATTAGAAAGATGGATAACTAAGCATTTCTGAGATGTTTTATCATGTTTTTCCATGTCTCAGAACTGCTGAAAGACGCCATGAAGCTCACAGAGTGTGAACAGGTAGGCTTAACGTTTCTTCTCTTCACTGGCTGAAAATTGTTCCAGTTCTGGGACCACCTACTTACCTAAGTGTAGCTGTACTGTAGATTTTCTTTAGCCTTTTCTTTAGTGTCAATTTTTGATACCAAAGGAATATAAGACTGCTACATGAGAAAACATCTGTGGGTTTTTTGCACGTAAACATGGGCTTTTGGCTGTTTTTCAGAGGAGAATGTATCCTGTGCTTTTTAGAAATTATAAGCTGTTATATGTTGGAAAAAGAATTTCAGAGTTGCAGCCACCCTTTGAAGAGCCACACCTTCAAAATCTCAACTACACTTTCAAATGTCAACTACACTTTTCAACCTATGGCTTGTTAGTCAAACATGTCATGTAGCATTGAGGTTTGGAAAGACCCAAAATGGAACAAAACACCACAAATAGGAAGTGTAATAGGAAAACCAGTAAAATAGAGCAGTTTGAGGACAAATTGGCCAAGTAGATTCACCGTTATAGGTATTAAGTGATCCTTAGTCAAAACATTATAAAAACACTAAAAGAATGTGTGCACAGTATGGTATAAGTATAGTAGATTTTATTATTTGCCCAGTCTCTACTGCTGCTTTAATTACAGATTACAGGTGTGTACAGGTGTCCTCCCAACAAAAGCTGTCCCCAAAGGAGTCACTGACAAACAAGACACAGCATTCACACAAGCAATTACCTAAATAAAAAGTAACAAGAATGTCTTGTTTTTTTCCAAAAAAATTGTTGCCATCCTATGAGCTGGTTTGAAGGACAAAGTTTGGATCCCAATGTCTACCTGATGCCCCCAGAAATCGCTTGAATTATACCATCAGCAGCACACTTTATGTAATATAATGAAGCACTGATTTGCATAAACAGATGTTGAATGGTAAATATAATTAATTCTGGGCTGCCACAAGGAGAGGTTGGAAATGGTTATGCAAACACATTGACGTACATAAAATCATTACTTTGGATTTATTGTAAAACACGTGTTTTCATGAGCACAAAAATGTTCACTGTCCAGGTAAATGTCCAGATAAATACCTAGTCAAATGTAATACCTGAAACCTTTACTGTGTGTGTATGTACTGGCCTCTTTATTAGGTACATCTAACTTGTAAGTGTACTTATACGTATGATTGGATGTTGGCTGAGAATCGTCTACCACCCAGATAACGCCTGCGTACTGGTGGTGCTGACCATTGATGGTGTAAAGAGGGGTTAGCAAACTGTGCAGAGCAGAGAACAGTGAGTGTACATAAATATGGATGTATGTGTGTGTTTATACACAGTATATGTTATGTTCAGGCTCGGCTGTCTCTGGAGCTCCAGCGAGACAGTCATGTGAAGCAGCAGCGGTTGATCGAGGAGAGATGGAAGCGGGCCAGGCGAGAGGGCAAGCCGCGGATCCTTCAGGCTGTCCCGTCCTCGGAGCAGTCACTTCACCCCCAGTCCAGTTCCTCCTCTTCCTCTGGCCCAGCTGCCTGTCCTGATCGTGAGTATGATACTTGGCTGTATCTGCTGAAGAACAAAGGCACTACCCCGGAGCCGTGCGCTGGCAGCAAGGCCCAAAAAGATGACAAGACACGGCTGGAGGAGCAGCAGACCACCATCGAGGACCTGCGGCGGCTGGTGGACCGGCTGGTGGGTGAGAATGAGCGGTTGCAACAGGATAACGACCGGCTTCGAGCTGAGAACGCCCGGCTGCGCAAGGAACCATACGCTGATGCCGACTTCGTAGAGAAGTCGGAGCTATGGGTGCTGCCGCAGGCGGCCGAGGATCGCAAGGCCAAGGACATTTCCATCCCGCACCTGCCACCGCTGGAGATGCCGCAGGACATCCCCCTGGAGGACCTGCCCGCTCTGGAGCTGCCCGAGGACATCCAGCAAGAGCTGCAGGAGCTGCTGGACGGAGAAAAGCTGTGAGCGCCCGTCCATACACTTGCCAAAGGGAGAAGATTATGCCGTCAAAAGCGACGAGGGAATTTGATGAATTTCTGGCCTTCAGCACAGTGGCATAGCTCTAGATGACATAAATGCTAACTTTTTTTTTTTCTCGTTCCTTTCTTCAATGATGCCCACCTAGGTACTGCAGCTATTTGATAACATGAAACAAACAACAAAAAAAGAACTCATTTTGCAAGACTTGTGCCTTTTTGAATATCTCTATTGTCTAACGAAAGGGACTGATGAGAAGAATATCTGCTCTATGGAAGCCATGATTGTAAAACTGGCTCTGGGAGCGCTCGACTGATGCGTTTGGAAAATATCAGACTGACCTTCGTCAGTAAGAAACCTGGGCCTCTCAGAGACCCTTTTGTACTGCAAAACTTATCCTTTTCTCTCCACACAAAAACAGACAGTGAGCACTGTGAACTACATCCATAACGTGTGAATGCGTACGAGATGAAGTGTGTGTTTATGTGGCTTCCTGACTTGTGGTGAGATGTGGTGTTGTGACGACGTGGATCGTTGTGGAAAATCGTGAATGTGCGCCTCCGATCGTGTCCTGTCATTTCCAGCGTCAGCCTTTGAAATAGCTACAGGATGTCTTTCCAGTAGTTAAGCTTTCACATCTGTTCTGTTGAGGCCGATGGCTTGAACTCTGCTACTGTCCAAGAAGCAGAGAGGCCTCGATGCAGTTATGCGCTTAGTCATGCATTACCCCCGCGTGCAGATTTTTAAAAATGGCTGCATAAGTCAATAGCTGAGATGTAAACAAAGTCATTCAGAGTGGTTTGATGTGTATTGGCCCTTTACCACCTTTGATTTCTTTACAGTGATGATAAAAGGACCTGGGGGTTGTAATAGCCCAAATGCAAATATAGCTTTTGCGAAGTGTCCAGTTTTAAACTGGATAGTCTGGTTTTAAGGTCGGTAGTCGACTGGACATTTTCAAGTCAGGTTTCACTCTAAATATTTTCATTCAGGACTATTTTACCTTACAGCCCCCTGAAGTACCTAAATATGTTTTAAGGCAGAATCTTATGTCAGAACTAATGAGAAATGATGAGTGTGTTTACATGCACTTAATAATCTAATAACTGCAGAAAATCAGATTTTGTCAGTAATCCAGGTCTACATGAGTCAGACAATAATTGGATTTCTGCTTTGCGAACAGCCAATAATCTCACGAAGAACACGTGACGTGAACATAGTGTAAAACTCAAACTAAAACATTTTTTAAAAACTGCATCACTTTACCTGAAAATATGAATGTACATAATCTAGAAGATGAAGAAAAATTAAATCCCTCATTTCGTCAAGCATGTATTTGGTTTCAGTGTCGCTCCAAAAGTGTTTTGCTGCCGTCTCGTGGCAACGCTGCTTGTTTACTTCCAGTACCGCCATCTGTTTTCTTTTGCACATGCACAGACTAAGGAATCTGAATGAAATCCGAGGAAGAGTTTACATGCGTTGAGAAATCTGACTACTGAGCTAAAATCCAGCTCTCTTTATTGGATTTCTTAATCAGATTTCTACACCTTACTCCGATCTAAGAAATCGGAGTATGCTGTTTGCACGACCATTTGAATAATCAGATAACTGCAGAAATCCGATTATGATCGGATTACTGAGTGCATGTAAGCAATTCACAACAATTACATCCCATAACTTCATGTAATGCTTTTAGAGGCCTTAACGCTTTAGACTCTGGTTCCTATCACCACCGTGAACAATTCTAACTGTGTAATTTCTCTAGAACAGAATTTTACACCAGACCACTCTGAATGACTTTACAGCTTAGCCATTTAATTACTCAGAATAAAAAAAATAACCTGGTGGAATTTCCCCCTTAACCAGCTTGATAAAACCCACTTGTTTCGCCTTATTAAAAAAAAGCCCTGCAACACAGTAAAATGGTGTCATGATGTCTTTGAACTGTTGTTGTGGTGCTAGGCAACCCAAGACAGCAAAATGAAATGCACAACCAGCCACCATTATTTTTGCAAGCTCTCCAAGTTACGTGGCTTTATGAGGTTTTGCAGTAGCAGCACAGAATTTTAGTCTCAGATCCATCAGCACATCTAAATGGAAAAACCTAAAGCCTTTCCCAAGTCCCACGTCAGGATCTTTGTGAACTATCTCAAGTGTAAGGTTGTGTAATATATTTTTGGTTCTGTTTTGCAAAGCCTAATTTGTACTGTAATCAATCAACAATTGATTGTTTTGATCACACAGTTAATATTTTTCAGGTAACTGTGTGATTTTTACTTTGAATATGCAGGATGGGTGAGTCCATACAATCATACAGTATATAACAAGAAGTCAGGTTACACTATTCCTACATCACACTAATTGAGAGAAAAATCAACTCGTGCCACATGCAAGAGAACAAGGAGCGCTTTGTTTTGTTTTCTGTTTTTTTTTTTTATGTGATGCAGGGATGTGACATAATGGGTCATATTTGTGTCACGAAGAGGGAACCAAATCCACTTTTTTCTTTTTTTATTAATTTAATTTTTCAATTTTATTATTGGTTTACAGCAGTAATCAGGGTGGATCTGAATTGTTTTCTGTTCCATTTTGTTTGTGTGTGATGTAAAAATCTTTGAAAATCATATGATGAAAGTGTAACTTTTGTTCATGCATGAATGGCAGTTGTAGCTGTAAGTCTATGATTGTTAAGATATTAAAAATGAGGATTTATGTTACGGCTCAGTTCTTTACTCGGTTTGTTTGTTTTGCACAGTTGATGAGTCTCAAGAAGTAGAGCATATAAAGTGCAGAGCAGGCCCGTAGTCTGTATCTGTCCTGCTCACCAAGCACCATACCTACTTAATTGCCCCCTCTAGTGTTGTATCAGTGTATGACACTTTGAGTCTTGGTTATATGCCCTTTCTGTACTTTTAACTGAGTGGAATTCTCATTATTCCTAATTTTTTGATAAGCCTTCACTGTTAATATAGTAAAAATATAATACTGTATCTATGTTCAGTGCAGTAGACAGGTAATATGTATGAACATACAGATTATTCATGAACTATAGAGTAAATGATATTACCCTGGATGTAGCAGTGTGGGAGGAAGAACATGGGACTAGGGTTTGTGTAAATTTGGAACTTTAGGGCTGAATGATAGTGTGGGGGCGGGGTCACTTTGAACTCGTCAAATGTACATCGTAAATGTAAGCATTAACAGCAGCAGTTAAGTATTCTGTGCAAAGCTGTATTGCACTTATACCCTCCAGTATAGTGAAAACATATTAGAAGATGGCAGCTCAGCATGATAGTTCCATAATCTGCATTTTATTCTCTTTAGCAAAACTCTCCTCAGCAATTACCGCAAACCCACAAACATTAAGACATATTTCAGGCATGATGTTAGCACTCATGACTGTAGCATTCTGGCAGTAATATGTCAGCAAGTTAGCTTGGCAATTCTCATTGGGGGGCTGAAGTGTCGTCTTTTTCATATTACTTACCTTTTATTTAATTACATATTAAGACACTTGCCAAACAGTACAAATTTAAATATTCTTTTTTTATGAGCAGAAAACATCTCTCTCTGGTTCACACTGGTTATCATACCTATTTTAAGATAATTCTCTTATATCCACCCCTCAGATTTTTTTGCAGAAGCCTCTATTTTCAACCTAGCCCTGTTTGGCTATTTATAGCTACCAACTACCTGATGGCGGGCATGCCACAGCATGACCAATGAACAACAAAGCCTTGCGGGATCTGCATTATCAGATGCACAGGCCCTGTTCATTTTACATGAAGAACTCTTATGGTGTGTAAATCTTACATATGAATAGAGTGAACTATTGATAATAGCTATCTTGCAAGGTCAAAAGGTTATGGAAAAGGCATATATGTATAAAGTACTGGGCAGAATACTTAGAAAAAGTAGTGATAGCTGAATACTAAACACACCATCCTAAATGTATTCAGTAATGTGTTCAGAATACATTTACAATACATATTGATTAGGCAGATGGGAAAAACTCCACTGTTGTAATTTTTATTTCATTCACACTGTTCCTCATTGTCAATGGTTGGCAGCTTTCTTTCTAATTCTACTGTTAATATTGTTCATGAAAAAAATAAACAGTTTTTCAACAATACAAAACTTTCAACAATATTTTGGCTCTCATCACCTGCTACAGTCCAGTATTGTACAGTACTGTCTCATGAACTGAGCAAATCATTTGCCATTTACCAAATACAAAATCTAGCACATTTGACCTTAAAAAAGTGGGGAGCCGCCTGATTTTCAGTTAATGACGTAACATGTCACGAAAGGCATGCACAAGTCTGGTACAACACTGATGCTTAGCTGATCACTCTTAAACATGTACTGAGGAGACTGTTCAGTTCAGTCATCCCGCAAAAGTGTTTAGTGACACTGAGATTGACAACTGATTCATTACATTGGTTCATCAGTCTACTCAAGTTTCAGCAGGAACTTCAATGTTTGTAAAATCCAACTGTCAACCTTCTGGTCACAAGACTGGTACCCTAACCTCTAGCCCAGAGTTCATCTCTACACTTTGTTTTTAAAATAGTTGAAAAACAAACATTGATGCTGTTTCTTTTAAACGATGCCTTATATTTTTACATTTTATGGGTAAGTATTCTAAAAATGAATCTATACGAATGAATACTGCCTTTACTAAATCAAACTTGGACTGAATACAGATATTTGATTTCTGTATTCTGAATATGTTATGAATTCTTGTATTCCATTACATCCCCACTTCTATTGGTCCCATCTGCAAGAATTTTTCACACATTCTAAAGGGCTACTGGTATTTTAAAATGACATCAAAAAAAGAAAAACAAGAGACTGATACATCCTCCAGCATTCTGAACTGCGCTGCTGTATGTTCTGCAGCAGTCACAAGCGAGGCAGGCTAATTAAAGCTTGAAGTAGACGTTCCCAGGGACCTTTAGCTCATCGCTAGGCTGCTGCTTTCTCTCTCTCTCTCTCTCTCTCTGAGCGAGCAAGATCAAGCACAGTCAGTCACATGCGCGCCTGGAGCTTAAAGCCTTTGATGTGCGGGGCCCATTAGCAAGGCCAGCTGAATTACACTCCACTGCAGAGGTGCAGAAGCCCAGCCTGCAAGCGTGGACTGTTAAACAGAGAGAGAAAAAACACAGAGCTCCTCTCTCTCTATGAACTCCTCACTGCCTCTAATTATCAAATCTGTCAGCGAAGCCGAGATAAGAAACATCATAAGCTGCTGAACATCAGCCCTCTCTGAAGTGTGCATCAATATGTTTACGCTTTGGACATGTAATGACCACAGTATCTATACACAATTGATCTGTTATGGATGTGTAGACTTTTTTTCTTCAGCTAGCAAAAGATTAGCAGGTGGTCGATCTAAAACTGTCCCTGGGTAAATCCTTTTTATCGCTGTGTAAAAAGGCAATAAGGCCGTCATTTGATAAATCCATTTTAATGGAAAATGTAAAACCCTTTGAACTTCAATGTACAAAGCATGTAACACTTGCACTTTTAAAATTCTGAAATTGAAGCAAGCCATGTTTTTAAAAAAATACATCAGTGAATGTATATATGTATATATTTACACAGCATAGTAAGTCTTTCATTGTTTTTGTTTTATCAACTTCAAAACTTCACCATAGTAAATCTTAACAAAAAAAAGAAAACAAGACAACTTTTCTTAAATAAATTACAACCTTTTGTAAATGTCTCCATTTTACAGTGAATACTTCTTAATAAAACGCTGAAGTGTGTTATTCATTTAGGCTTTCTTTACATAATATAACTTTACAATGTTTACAATAGTTTGGCAGTTAAAAATTTTCAAAAGATATGGCATGAGGACTGCAATTTCAGCAACAATTCCCAAAGTACAGGCAATAGCTGGTGTTAGGATCCTCTCTCACAGTAACTGTCTCAAATGTAGTGAGCTGCATTAGGATCCCATTTAGCAAACTGTACAAGTCACATTTACAATTTGATCTGGAACATAGCCAAGAGCTCCTAAAAATAAATACATCGTTTTCACTGAAACAATATACAGTATGAAAGAAAAGAAAAAAAAAAAACAAAAACAACAAAAACGAGAAAAAGACAAATACTAAAAGTTCGAACAGCAGTGCTGTTGCTTGCAGATTATCTGTATCTTTTTTATTTCTCTGTAAAATCACAGTTATCCTGATGTGTTTGGGCTATACTGCTATGGTGTCAGTAACAAATAAATAGCATTTTTTCTTGTCTTTCTTTAATCTGTCATCTCTTAAAGTCTGCTTGGCACTGGAGGTTCATGATGTGAAAATTAGTGTGCATATTTGGGGTTAAGTGATGGAGGCGTGCTGACGGCAGCGAGGGGTCAGAGGTCATGAGTTTGAGCCATCATCCCTTGGACCCTCGGCACTGCACCGCTTTAATGTTCCCACAGCATCCTTTACACAGTGGTAAAAGATGTTCTTGACCTGAGAGAGAGAGAGAGAGAGAGAGAGAGAGAGAGAGACAGACACACACTCTGTTAGTGACATTATGGATGACGGCCAGACTCTGACTCATGCTCTTAAAATAGTCTGAATAGACTGCTGAGAGGAAGACGGGGTGAAAATACTAAATTACACAGCAGCTCGTTAATGGACATCATGCACTTAGAGCCAGCCTCACCGCTGAAAAACATCTATTAGGAGTACACAGTAAGGCTGGACTGCAGAGACACTAATGACTTCTACAAGCTCAGCTGTTAGAGGTGAAAACTACACACACACACACGCACACGCGCACACACGCACGCACACACACGCACACACACGCACGCAAAAAAAAACCTGAACACAAACAGTGTGCTACAGTACATAGTTGTATGAAAAAGTTTGAACACCCCTGGTCAAATCTACGGAAGTCCAGAGAGGCTATGAGGTAATTTTCTGGATTGTTATTTTGAGATAACGAGTTAATTATCTTGTGATCTCAAGATAAACTTGTTATATTGAGAGAAGTTATTTATCTTGTTATCTCAAGATAACAAAATTGTTATCTTGAAATAATGAGTTACTTATCTTTTTATCTCAAGATAACAATCCAGAAAATTATAGCAACCACTCATGGCCTCTCTGGACTTCCGTACAAATCGCACGTTTTGTTGTTTTAGTGCTTTTTCTGCTTTAAGCCACTTTAACTC